TGATTGGAACAGCATGCTTCTTGACCAGCTATTTTGAATTTTTAAAAATTGTTATTCATTCGGTCTACCCCACACCACCCCCTACTCAGCCGAGTCTCAGCCTAAACGTGGCTTCTTTTCCTGTACTGTATTCAGGCCCACTGAACGTTGTACCACCTCCTGCCGCTGTTGCATTTTTAAAATCCAAACTGCTGTTTGGGGCATCCTTCCATCTCCAAAACACCTTTCGAATACAACAGGGCAGTGGGGAACCCTGTTTTATCCAAGCTTAGGGCGTTACAAATAAAATTTTAAATAGTAAACTGCAGCTCACGAAAACATACCTTTGAATAAAATGTGCTAGGTGGAAAAGTGCTCCCAGGATCCTGATTTTTTTCCACCGTACACTAATCTTGTTCCCATCTTCTAGCTGTGGGTGCTTGAAGGTGAAATACTTAATTTTCGGACTTAAACGCAGCCCCTCAGAGACGTCTGCTCAGGGTTCGGTGACAAAATGTCCCGTTGAATGACTTACATAGGGAGCATACAGAAGAAAGACCAAATCTCTCCAAGTAAAATAAGAGGGAAGTTTTCTAAAATAAGGATAAAAAATAGCGCATTGCCACTAGGAGGAGCCATCAGAGTGTGGCTTCAGGTCTGGCAGCTAAGCCAACCCACAGGTGCCAATTTTATATGATTTTAACTTCCTGGGAATCTTCCTTGCGTGGGGGTAAGGCTGGTGGAAGCACAGGCTGCAATCCGGCCGATGCAGGCGAGGAGAACGTTTTACCAGGCAGTCTGTTTGTCTTGGTCCCCCCAGAATGCATTCATTCATCTTAATCTGTTTTTTTTTTTTTCCTTTCCAAGCCAGAACACAAGCCTACTTCTTGTTTAAGGAATGATAACAGGCTTCCTGTCCGTCCGTGCAGAATTGGGGAGGCAGGTATATTAGCTAACATTGGTTAAACTGCTTTATCTCCAGAAGCTCCTTAGCGATGGTTGAGCTGCTCTGGAAAAAAAATTTAAAAAGCCACGCAGATGATCAGGAAGTTCAGAGGCGAAGCATTGCAGATTAATTTGAAATATTCAGATTATTAGCTGCAGACTGTTGCTTTAAATCAGTGTTGTCCAAACTTGGCCACTTTAAGATGAGTGGACTTCAACTCCCA